TCTGTGTCCCCTGGTTCTGCTATACAACAATTATATATTTATCATTACTGATTTTAAAAGTTTCTTTTCAAAGAATTTGACCATATATTTTTTTTTCAGAGTAATTGGGCTGTTCCTGAACAATATTGAATATAAATATTCAAAAATATGATAAACTGCATATCCTACTAAGTAGATCAATACCAAAATTCCATTAGAGAAATAAGTTAAAATTATGTTTTACTTGTATAATTTTCTTGCTATTTGTCCACCATTATTTGTGACTTAGAAATTAAATAGTCAAAAAGAATTTAGTACCAGTTTTTATTTCCCAAAAAAAATAATTGTTAAATAATTACATATTGCTTAAGATACAGTATATTATATTGTGTTTATAGTTGATAATTCTAGTTCTTAGTTGTTTATAGTTGATAATTAACAATATTTCTGATGTTAGATATTATATTAGATAAAAAATTTAATTACCAACAGCTACCTACCTATGTAGCTGCAGATTATTATATTGTGTAGTAGGTACTGTATAATTCTTTAGTTCAAGAAACAAATATCAGTACAAGTATATAACCAAAAAAATGTTGATGCAAATTCTTTGTATAACATACGTACCCCTATGGTATTCAACTTTTCATTGTTCTTTTAATTAGATACACAATAAGCACATTAATTCGTTTATTAAACAACCAAAACTAACTACTTAAATTCACAATATAAATATCACAATAAATGTATAAGCTTTGATCAATTCCTATTATTAATACCTGACGACTTCATACTTTATAACTACCAATGGCTATCCTACTAACACACTAGCCAACTAATAAAAAAATACAACATAAACACATCGTTATTGCAATAGTATAGAAATATATTCCATGTATCATTAACTACCTATAAATACAATACCCACATCTTCTTTTACGCGAATAGTGCGTTAGGAGGCAGAAATATTGCCTGCATTGTACATCGTACAAATTGGCTAGAATTTATTAATATCCATTGCAAACATTTCTCTTTCAAAGGGTCTAAATGTTTTGTCTTTTTACTGTGTCCCTGTAATATGTTATCAATTAACAACAGTTATCAAATATGATCTGGACAATAATAATTGTTTTACCTTTTTTTCAAACTAAACTCTTTAAACAAACTATATAAATAAAATTTATCTCATAACCTAACTTGCTGCTAGAATTTCTTTCTTGTTATTCTATGTTCCTGTATTGTTATTCTTCACATTATCAATTTCTATGAGCAATATCATTACTAAATCAAGGAAATCTATTCCTAATGCCAATTTAAATTCTGTGAAGGCACAACACTTTCTTCAATATTTGTTTACTTCCAAAAAATGTCAAAGCATATAACTTGAAATTATTTCAAGTACATATTTTAATTTTTGACAGGCACTCACATTTAGAACATCTGAAATAAGAAATTTTGTAATTCTACACGTCTAAAAAGATATAATAACATTTTTCTCACTATAGAGCGAAATTTCTTTGCGGCTTCAGATACAAAACTTGCGGATTTCCATACATCGAAATACAAAATAAGATATTATTTATTAGTAGACAAATACCAGAATATAGAAGGCCAAACCAAACTCTAGGAAATAACTTTAAAATACATTATTTTTTCAAAAAACGTTTGGATCTATAAATTACAATAATAACGTGATAATAATCTCATCACATCTGTCAGTGAAATGAGTCGAAAAACATAGGTTACCGTCAATTTATATGTTTTCAATTTCAAATACTCGACGCTCATTGGTCGTGACGAAATCGTCTTCCTCGACAAAATACGGCATATTTTCCAACATAGCCCGCTATAGGGAGTTGAATATCCTTCTTCTATATATCCTTGAATTGGACAAATAAATAAAACTGTCTCTTTAGTTGTCAGTTTTGAGTCAATATTTTTAAATTCTCTTTCGTGTCGATTGCTGATTGAATTGGAGCCAGAAATGGCTCAAAACGAAATAATTAAATTACTGTCTGTCTGTCGAAATCTTACCTGAGAAAAGAAAACGTAAACGTAAAAAAGAGTATAAATAAAGCTGTCTCTTTAGTTGTCAGTTTTGAGTCAATATTTTTTTATTCTTTTTCGTGTCGATTGCTGATTGAATTGGAGCCAGAAATGGCTTTAAACGAAATAAGTAAATTACCAACAGATATTCAGGCTGAGGCGACAAACGCCATATCCATACTACTTCCATTTAAATCCGGAATAACTTATGAAAAGGAATATACAAATTTTAAAAAATGGAAGCAATTAAAAAACGTGCGAAAAAAGATAAAGTTTTTAACCTATCCTCGCTGTTAAAGTATCATTTAATCTACCCTTGCGGTTAAAGTACTAATTTTATCTACTATTTTTTATAGATATATGTATGGCAATTTTAATTATTATTTTAATTAAGAAGTTGCTATGGAAAAAATAAATATAAAGGGTTCTGTAAACAGTGACTCGGGCATATGTAGCTCACATATTAAAAAACGTAGGAATTTTGTTTAAGTGTAAATTCAGGAAACTATTTTAAGTTCTACAGAGTGACTCAAAAAAGTGCGAGTAGATTAAGATATTTGTTTTAATACGATAAAATTCTTTTTAATGGAACACCCCTATATTATTACACTTTTTGCTTCCTTTCAGATCATTTTACATAATCCTAAGATATTATTAAATATTTTTTGACAGTGTCAGAGAATATTAATAAATAAAATATATATTTTTCAGTCTTTTTTAAAAAAATTATTAAACTACACAAGAAATGTTCTGAAATCAAAACTATACTAGGTTTATACTATACAGGGTGTCCCAGAAATAAGTGCAAATATTTTAAGGGGTGGTAGATCTCGATAAAAGAAACATATTTTCTCTTTATCGTTTTTCAAATAAGTCCAAAATAACGGAGTTATTTTACTTTGAAAATTTCCAAAAAAAATGATTTTTTGCTAAAATTTTGAGAACCACTGGATCTTTTCTGGATTTTCTTTCTTGTAAATTTAATCTAATACGTATGTTGCCATATTATCAAGAAATTATGTTTTTTAACTAAAAACTAAAAAAAATTTCAAAAAATTTTTCAAAAAATTTCGAATTTTCAATATTTTTTTTCGCGAAAAAAACCTCATAGGCGTGTTTCTGGGATTGAACTATACTACCAGTTAAAATATTTGCAATTATTTCTATGATGCCCTGTATAGTTGGTGCGTATTTAGTTTGCTGTAAATATCGCAATCTTAAATCATACAGATTGTTCAAAATTCTATATCAAACTTTAGAAAATATAAAATAGTTTCCTTCGTTTTTTCAGAGGAACACCGTGTATATTTTTTTTTTGTTAGATAGAGAATTAAAAAACGAACATTTTTTGTATTTAAAGTTTTTTAAACATTTTAGTTGTGATGTGAAAACTGTATCTTTGTATCTCTACTCATAAACGAGAAATCCTATAAAACACGCGAAAATAAGACACCCTGTACACTAATAAATTAAAAATTGTGTTTTATTGACGCTTATAGAAAATAGTATATTATTTTATTAGGAGTAAAAATGACACTTTTTGTTGCGAGGCTGTACGTTTGACGTACAGCTAAGGCACAAAAAATATAATTTTTACTCCGAATAGAACATGCTCTTTTTTTCAAACGCCACAAATAATTTTTTAAACAATTTCAAACGTTCCAAATAATATAAAGAGATTTAAAAGGCATACCTTATATGTAGTTATATATCGAGGAACTATGGTTACACTCGTTGAATTTGACACTGTGTCAGTTTAATAATATATTTTCGTACTTTTATGTCTAGGCGTTTAAATAACTATTTATATTGTCAATCATGTCGCAAAAATTAATACTTTCGTCGCGTTTGAAATTTTTTTCGAAAATTCCTGTTTCGAACTAACAAAACTTTGTTATAAAAACAAAATGTTTTCTAACTTTAATGGCGGACTCTCGATTTGTATTTGATCAAAGCACATTACGAATTAAAGGGTCTAAATAATAAAAAACATGTTGTTTCACCTTTAATTCCGAGCTCACCCAAAAAATAAAATAAAAATTTCAGCAGTTAAACAACAACGAAAAGTAAGGTTTTAATTTAGAACTTTTAATGGAATTAAAAAGAACCAAAAACATGCTTTCATCACCATGAAAAAGTTTATATTTGAATATAAAAATATCTTTTTTTCGTTAGAAAATAATGTATATATTTTTTATTCCATACTGTATCGTAAAATACCTCCTTACATTTTGATATCAGTTCTAAAAATAAGGTTTTACAGTAATAGGTCCAGCATTTTTTTTAATTTGCTAAACCTGTAATTTTTTAGTATTTAGCATTCTCAAAATTGTGGAAAATCCTTCATAAACATCTCACTAATATGTCCTACTCGACTTAAGAATCCATTTCACTAGTCCGAAAAATTAGCAAAATAAGCGTTCGGCATTTAACGTTTCATATAAAACTGACTAAATAGGTATTTTTACACAAATGAAAAAGGAAATTAAAGATAAAGGATTATACTATATCTGTATTGCAGCACATTTTTAGACAACTTCATTATTTTTAAGATTTTGATTAAATGATCTTGATCCTTGTTTGGACTAAATTTTCTCGAAAATAAAGACATAATTTAAAATTCCGTTACAATACAGAAATAGATTGAAGTTTTGTGATTACAATGATATTACAATGATATATATAATTTATATGGTTTTGTAACAAATTGTTCGCTATTTTATGAAAAATGCTAAAGCTCTGCAAACCTTAATCACAACCCGTGTGTTTGGAATTTTGTGTGTGGCTTAACACGACAGGATCGGGCTATGCTTTAGGCAGATTTCTGAAATATAATTTATATTTCCTTCGGCCACACACCCGCTTTAGGCGACCACTGAGAGCAACCCGAACAGTACAGCTTAATAGGCTTTTAAAAGGTAAATGTCAATTGTAAAAATGAAAAAATTAACTGTAGAACAACTAAATATCTTTACCTGGTGCAACTGTACGGCATTTCTGTGTTCTATTTCCATCAATTCCTCTTCAAATCCTTTGAAAACACTCCAACAACTTGACGTTATCTCATCCTGATCTATAGCAATCGTTTTGAAGGAACAACAGTTCAAAGTATCGCTTTTCAATTCCTTGAGATTTAGAAACTTGTGTTGTGCGGTCAATATTCAATAATGCGACGTCATATCTTCATCAATATCATCAACTTCAATTCCATTGTTTATTTCAATATCTTCATCTAATGGAAAATGTTCTAATTCATCGATGATATATATTGTTTGAACACATAACAATTTTTTCAAGACCAACTTTATTAAATGTTATTGTTTCTCATTGAGGATGAGAGTTAGGTTTGAGAAGCTATGAATTTTGATTGTTGATTTTGTTCCAAACTTATTCAAGCGTTGAAAGTCGTCAACTTTTTCTGACTAGCACATCAATCAACTGGAATTGTACCTGTAACAAACAAAAAAATAAATAAACTTTTATCTATTATTCTGTTGTAAAATGTAATGATTAAGTCTGTTGTTACTATATGTTTGTAACATCTCGTCTTTGATAATAAAATAAATCTAAGGGCACGGCAGTGCCCCCGCCAAGTCGAGTACAGCTGTACCATCCTTTTCTTAGGTATTAGCGGCACTTTTCACCACTCTGTAACATCGTTGTGGATAAAGCAAGAATATTAATTTCCACTACACTTGAAGACATACTATAGCTGGCTAGATTAATATCTAGTAATTATACCTCGTAGTTTATGAATTATCGCTTGTCAAATTTCTTTAATTTTGCCGTTGACTCACTGACAGATCATCAAAATTCTAATGTACTTCTAGATGCGCCACAAACTTCAAATTTTGAATTTTAGGTAGCTTTAAGCTTATAATGGAAGAAAAAAATTAAAAATCTCGAAATATCCTTATGGATTAAAAGTTAGCTGTCTAGCCTCTACCGATAACTGGTTTTCCAGACGAGAAAAAGATAGAAAACGAGAATTAATCGGAGCGGTCTCTTCTGATTTAATTTATATATCATTGTACCAACAACATAATTCAAAGATTATGATATTTTTCTAGTCAGACTTATTATTTTTTTAGTTTAATATGTTAAATGCTAGGCTTGAACATGAACATATTTCAACCAAGGCTTGATAGCGCGGTGGCGAAGTATTCCGATAGTTCGGAAGGCCCGAGTTCAAGGCTGCATTGAGGCATAATTTTTTTTATTTTATTTTCGTTAATATTCTGATTGTAAAATATTAAATACATATCTTAAGAAAAAATTCACGGATTTATCTCTTATAATTTTAGAGATAAAAAATAAAATATGTGTAAAATTGACAAAAAAATAATTTTGAATAAGCATTGGTAAAATTATGAATTGAACATTTTTAAAGTTGATATTTGAGTTATAACGAAAGTCGGAAACACAAGTCGTTAGAAAACTAGAATTAATTCAATTGATATTATCTGACTTAATTAATTATAGGATAATTCAAAATTTATGACTTATAGTCTAAATTTTTTAATATAATTTTGTATGACCCGAAAAAAAATAGAAGGACAACCTACAAAAAGAAATAAGATCCCGTCAAAAACATAGAATATAAAAATGCCAAGTCTCGCAACACAATTCCTCCGCTATAAAAAGTTGTGAAATCTCATGTAAAACTAAGTCAGTTTATTTTATTTAGTCTCTCTTTAAGCACCTATTCAACAATTTTCATATAAATTGTTAGTATTAATATTTTAGTATCAATATTTTGCATTTTTTTACATTCTATGTTTTCGATGGGATTATTATTATCATTATAAAGCCAATGCCATTGACTGAACAAACTTTAACACTACGAAACTATATGAAAACGTATTCTTTACACGAAATATGGCGAGTAACTTGTCAAAGAACATCACAAAAGTTCTAGCAAGACTTTAAGTGACTGAAAAAAACTGAACACGTTTCGACCACACTCAGTTTAAGATAAATTGAGCCGTGCGACGCTGTCGGCCATCAATTTCCGTTTGAGATGACCTTTTTACCAGAAAATGCACTTTGTCGACCTTATTCAAATGGAAATGGCGCTTAGAACGGACCAGTATCGGGCTCTATCCAAGAAATTGAACAGGGATATTGGCTAGAAAGTTTATAGTAGAGGATCCGGCTTTAGGATTATTACGCTCATCACGTAGTTAATCAAAATCTAATTTTTACATGTATTTATAAATAGGGAAATTCTCTTTTAACAGGGTGCTCATCAAAAAGTTGCCACAAATAGAGGTTGTCACGATTCCAAGTCTTTCCTACTACTTTATATGTGTCCGGCAATAGTGTGTCGGGCATCTGAAGCTCTTATAGTAGAATCTAGAATGTTTAGGAGGGGAGTTAATCACCGCGACCTTATAGATCTATTGTGTGTTCCCCTTTCTTGAGTTATAACGAGTATCAGCATTATAATCCATCCTCGACATCAGACGTACCAAAGTTCATGGCACGAATGGTCGTCGTCTCGGCACACTCGCTGATAAGGTGTTCTGGTGTTTCCCCATTTTCCCCACAGAATCTGCATTCGCCGCTGTTTCTCAGCTTCAGCCTACTGAGGTGTTCGTTGAGGAGACAGTATCCTGTTAGAAACCCCGTGACTCCGAAGATTGTTTTTACTTAAATAAAGGAAAACCTTTGATTTTTCTCGGTCGTAAGTTCTGAGGAACTTTTTCGAGTGTCTTAGACCGATGGATGACACCCATTCGAAGTTACGGATGGAGTCTTCTAGATTCTTCAGTTCCGCTTTCAGTTGGTTTCCGTTTGGAAAACAGAACGGTTCTGGTTCAGTTAGTGGAGTGTTCGCTCATTTGCTTTTTCATTGCCTTCTATCACTTGGTGAGCAGGCACCCAGCAATAGGAGGACTTTATTTTCTTTGCCTAATTTGTTGAGCTTCTCTAGGCATTCTTTGACCAACTTCGAATTGATGGTTACTGAGTTGATCGCGTTAAGTGCTGCTTGACTATCGGATAGGATGGCAATTTCCTGTTTTCGATAGATCCTATCTATCGTATCTACCAATAAATTGTACGCATCTTTCGATAGCGTAAATTTCTGCCTGAAGGATACTGGGGTAGGTGCCCATTGGTTCGGAGTATTTAGTTTTCGGCCCAAATACTCCTATTCTTGTCCCTGCTTTGGTTTTGGAAGCATCAGTATACCACGTGATGATATGGTCTTTTATATGCTGAGTAAGCGTTTCTTTCTTCCAATCCTTTTTATTACTCAATACTACAGTGAGGTATTTCTCAAAGTTGTAAATTCTTGGTATGTTATCCACTGGGAGTTAACTCAACTACCGAGGACAATGTGCAGTGGTGTTAGGTCTAGAATGCTAGAAGCTCTTATATTAAAAAAACTTCAAAAACTTCTCAAGTTTGGCCTTCTTCTAGGTCTCTTAATTCGGCGTTGGTACCATGCTGTATTTTTTGTGGTCCATCTGTTCTTCTTGCCAGGGGTCCTGCCGTTGCCACTTGAGGTATTTGACTATGTAGATGACCTCTATTACCTGTTTGTTTTGTTGTCTCCACTCTATTCTTTTACGGTCTCTCTTGGTTACTCCCAGCATATCTCTATTGTGTTTAAAATGGGCAGGGCCCCTGGCAAGAAGAACAGATGGGCCACAAAAATTACAGCACGGTACCAACGAGGAATTAAGAGACCTAGAAGAAGGCCACACCTGAGATGCGACCATGATATTAGGAAATTGGTAGGGATAACTTGGGCCCACATAGCCAACAATACACAACAGTGCGGTGTGCGACCTGCAGTTTCCTTATAATGTCCGTTTTAAGTGTGCAGGTTTAAGTGGCATTCTAGATTTGAATATGATTGACTTTGTTCCATAAGTACCCCATGCTATCTTAATTCTTCTGTTTATTTCTGGTAGTAGAGATCCCGAGCTGTGTATTAGTTATCCCAAATATATGTATTCTTCTACTATTGTGTGTAAGGGGCTATTGAGTCTTATCTATTTCTGGTAGTAGAGATCCCGAGCTGTGTATTAGTTATCCCAAATATATGTATTCTTCTACTATTGTGTGTAAGGATCTATTGAGTCTTATCTAGTCGTGACAGATTAGTGGCAAAAAAAACTTGCTACTAATTTAATCAAATGTCAATTAGTTACCTAAAGGGAAATTAAAACAATTTTCGTTGCACGTCATCAATGACACCATGTGTCGTCCTATGGAGTTTGCTGATGGTCGTATTATGATGTGCAACCAAAGTTATTCTAATTTCCCTATAGTAAGTTAGTAGCTATTTTTAGTTTCAGTTAAAAAAAATCAATTGGAAGATTCTGTGGCAGTTATTTTATTTTAAACTCCAAATTACGAACTCCGATCCTGTTTAAATTCTTTTAGAACTCCAAATACACTTCATATAATAATGCGGCTCTCCGTCCTTAATCCAATTAAAATTTTTCCAATCGATCATAATCTTCGAGAGTACGAATCCCCGTCGATATTAAGCATGAAATTCGATCGAAATGAAATATTCCCCGGTGTCAATTTAGACATAATAGGATTTTAAACGAGCCGCTTCTTTTTATTGTTAAATATAAAGGGATTAAAATCCATTGTTTGTAGGATTAATGTGTTCCTTACTGACGAGCGCTTATCGTTGAGGGGTATTATTGTTACTAAGTTGAGGGACTTTGGGTTTTTAATTATCAAATAGGCATTTTTATGGGTATAAAGAAGTTAAACGTTTTTTTTTCGTATTGTTTCGTATTATTACTGAATGGAACAGATACTTTTGTGTAGAGATAAATTACTTTGATAAAGTTAATTTTTTTCTATGCCAATTTAAGAGTATATCAAGTTTAAAACAGTCTCTACACTATCCCCGAAATGTTTTACGAAATATTTCTGGAAAAAAGCGTTAGTTTTCTAAGCTTTGTCGTTAAAAACTCGCTGCAGCCTTTTGTACTTAACAACACCACCATTAACGTCGTAAAATCTGTAAAATTCTTAGGGCTTGTTGTAGACAATTTGGGACATGCATATTGACGCTTTGTCGAAAAAAATAAGCTCTGCCTGTTTTGCATTAAGATCTATTTCGAAGAAGCTTAACTTGTCAGTGGCTACAACTGTTTATTATGCACTTTTTGAGTCGCACCTCAGATATGCCCTTCCATTCTGGGGTACGTGTTGTGTGGCTCAATTTGACCGCATTTTCAAGCTCCAGAAGAGAGCTGTTCGATATTCACTGGGACTAAACAGCGGAACTCATTGCCAGAACTTTGAGAACTTTGTTAAAATATTAAAAATATTAACTCTTCCTTCCTTCTTTATATTTAAATCCATTTGACTAATACGTAAGCATGTATCAGCTTCTCAAGAAAGTTCATCTCACACTTATCCACTCAGGAACGAGGAGCAAGATCTTTATCTACCTACCCCACGCC